GTTTAACATGTGTATTTTACATGAACAATTTTTTAAATTTTGTTGACAAGTGTTTTTTCAGACTTAGTAAACCTAGTAGTAAAACCAGTTACCCTTTCAACTCGTTTTTGGACATAAGTTAACTTGTAAATAGAGTTATCCATACCTGTTTTCCAACACATAGCAGCTACTTTACTTAAGTTTCTAACAAGTATCATCCAGAAGCAGAAACATTACATCCAAAAGCAGCAACATAACATCCAAAAGCAGAAACATAACATAACATCCATAAAGCATACTAAATACTTAAATAACACATAACAAGGTATTTCCCATAACAAGCAAGCTTAGGCATTTGTTTTACGCTTCTTCTTCTTTCCCTCGGTGAAAGGAGACTGCACCCACTGTGATGGTTCGCCTTTTCTTTTCGGCAGCGGCGTACATGGCTTCAATATAGCCTCAGTCTTCCTTGGCCTGCCCCTCTTCTTAGCCTTGGGTTGGGCTCCTTCCTTGGTCTCCTCGGCTGCTTCCTTGGTCTCCTCGGCTGCTTCCTTGCTCTCCTCGGCTGCTTCCTTGCTCTCCTCGACTCCTTTGTAAACAACCATATACCAGCTTTGGATTTCTTCTTCAGTGTATCTCCTCGGCTCCTCAGGTTTTGCTTCTTCTTCCTCAGTTGTTTTTTCAGGTTCTTCCACCAAGTCCTTAGCAACTTCTTCCTCAGTTGTTTTTTCAGGTTCTTCCACCAAGTCCTTAGCAACTTCTTCCTCAGCTTTTTTCTCCTCTTCCTCCACATCTTGTTCGACATCTTTTTTCTCAGTTTGCTCATTCTCTTCCCCCACCAAAATACCAATCCTTTTCCAAAATGTACTTCGTGACTTAGGCATATTATGAGTTGGTTTTCTTGCATGTGCCTTAGTCCGACCACGTAAGGGTGTACGAGTTCCTTCTGGCTCAACTCTCCTCTCAACCTCTTTCCCACTTGGTTCAGCCTCTTCTCTCTTCTCATCCTCTTCTCTCCTGTCAATATTCCTCCAGAATGCATCCGCATCTTCTCTCCTTTTCTCAGCTTCTTCCTTAGTTTCACACCTGGTTTCATCGTCTTCATCATCTTGTTGCTCATCATTTTCGTCCTCATCATTTTCACTCTTTTCCTTGTTTTCCTCAGTCCCATTCTCCTTCTCCACATCAACTTGCTCTTCCTCAGCCCCATTCTCCTTCCCCACATCAACTTGCTCTTCCTCAGCCTCATTCTCATTCTCCTCTTCTTCTGTTCTTTCAGTTTCTTTCTCCACATCTCTACCATAATCCACATTATCCCACTGCCCAATATCCATATCTTCACCATAATTATTCTCCCCATTTACCTTGCTCTCAATAGAAGTTAACCTCTCTTTCATTTTCTTAGCCATTCTTCTTAAAACTCGCTGGTTCTTCTCAAGTGCACTCATCCTCTGATCCATTTTTTCCAGCTTTGTCTCCACCACCTTTTTAACTCCAGAAAATCCTTCTGCCATGGAAACCAAAATCCTCTCCTCCAGACCTTTCAAGCTCAATTCCATATCAGACTTAGAAGATGATCCTTCTTCAAACTTCACCTCTTCTTTGTCTTTTTTCTTTGTAAACTCTCGTGCAGCAACATCCAAGTCATATAGCTCTTGCCAAAATATTTTCTTCTGCTTCACGGTTAGCCAGTGATTCCACGTATCACTTGTGCTACCCCCACAACGATACTCTGGC